TCTATGGTCTTAAATTCAGCAGTACTGGGTGTTTAGAATGCTTTACAGATCTCTAGGTAGTTCACTCTCTTGTTCTCAGCTTCACGAGTGTTTTCTTAACGCAGAAGATACTACTGAAAGTGACAGAATGCGTATCAAGTTCCTCTCTCACATATGATAAGCATCATTCTTAAAACTGGACCTTTTCCAGCTATGAATTCCCTTTATGGAGGTTTCCATTTTCACCTTTCATCAATTTATATTTTGTCTTGTCATTGTCAGGAACCATAAATGGTTAACTGAATAGCTGAGAGAACTTACTTAGTTGCCTTGATGAATCATATAACCTGCAATCAGCTGATGTTAGCCAAGTATGATGTTTTTCTCCGAGTTGTATGCTTCCTGCCACTGGCTAGGTGCGGCCTTCCAAAATAAGAATGGGTTGCTATTACTAATGGACTTTGTCTCCATATCTAGTTTATTGATTTTTCTAAACACATTGGGAAATGAAAGTCTCAAAATAAAACTATATTACTTGTCCTCAGATTTTCTTACTAGTTTGAGCTGGAAAACCCTCTTGGAGTTGTGAATAATTTCTTTGACATTGCAGTTAATTCTTTAGTATTGGTGGCAACGCTGTATAACTGAATACTTCAAGCTTTTCACAGGAAATAATGAGAGAGAGGTCCTGGGTTTGTGTTTTGAAATTCCTGTTTTATTTGGTAAAAAAAACATTGCAGGTAGAGACCAGAACTTACTGCTGCTCAAAGAATCAGTTCTGTTTGTTGTGCTAGCATTAGGAGTCTCATTTTTTTACCTCTGAAGAAGGAAAATAACCATTCCATTAGTGAATTTAGCAATTTGAAGGTTGTTAGTAGTTATCTGTCACTGCACAATTAGCCCAATTCTGCAGAGGCAATCAAAACTACAGAGGAAACTTGTGAGTTCTACTTTGGTACCTTTTTCTGACTCTTTGAAGATGATTATTCCATTTCCTTCCAGGATTGCTTTCTATTATCCTGAGATTACTATGTCTTTGAGGTAATTGAGAAGGGTATCAGCCTCCTGTTAAACATTACAGTGCCTCTTCATCCCCTATATTTATGACATTATACCATGTCCAAATTCTCCTCTTCCCCAAATTTGAATCTTGTGAGATCCTTCTCACAGTTTTGCTGCACTGAATGATTTTGTTCCTAATGGAGACTAATGTAATAGACCAGGGTGCTCAATCCCTGGTCTGTAGGCAAGATTTCCCTCTCTCTCCCTTTCTAGCACCATGTCATCTGGCCCACAGGGTCCCCATGGATCTGTGAGGGTGGTGCAGCCTGCTCCCAGGGGGCCAGGGGCCGCATGGGGACCCTGAAGCCTAATTTCTGCCAGAAGGGTGCAGCATCGGGCCCCAGTCCAGCCCATAGGCTGTCCGTATGCCATTTGTCTGGCTGGCAGGGCCAAAACCTTGAGCACTGCAGTAATAGACCATTCATTCCATTTACAAAGATAAAGAGATTTAATTATGCTATCTTGTTATCAGGACAGGTAGCCCTAATTTGTCCCCTTTGGTATGTGTTATATTAGTTACCTTCTTTGTTCATCCTATCCATCTTTTTTTGTCTCATCTTTTAGACTGTAAACTCTTTGATGCAGGCACTGTTATTTGTTGCTGATTTTGTGTAACATCTGCCACAGTGAGACCCAAGCTAATTGTGGCTTTTAGTCTCTGAGTTTTACTTATAGCCTTGTATAATTTCAGAGCATTTAAAATTAAAATAATGAAATCTATCTCTAAAACTAACTGTAGAATTAATTTCTTGAAGCTAAGAAAAGTATTCAGTTATAGATTCATATAAATGTTAAATAACAGCTCTTTCTTGTCATTGTTTAGGAGAAAAGACTTCAGGTTTTTTTCTTCCTGTGACTTTCATACATACAATGTCACTTGACTTTTGTTTGGCTACACCTAAGCAGTCAAAGAAAATATTTCTTTAAGAGTTTCTACAATGGAACAAGTCAAATCCAGGCTGTAATAGATAACATGAAAATAAGTATTTATTGACAATTTAGGGTACAGAAAATAACATTAAATATTATTAAATACTAATCAGCAGAGATTATTATCAGTTTTTTCAAGTGGCCCTAGCCTTAGAAAAGTAGGGCTGGAAGGGATCTCTGGGGACCCTGCTATACATTCAAATTAAAACTGGATAGAAACCAGCTATAAAGTTGTTATATATTTTCAAGCACAATCTTTATAGCTGGTTGGTTCTTTTTATAGCTGCACAGACATTTTTATGTCATGATGATTACTTTCCACTTGTGGCTGGTCTTACTTTGCATGTGTGGCCAGTCTAAATTTATTGTATGATTAACCAGTTAATTGCATAATATACGTAGCATGTGGCAGGGACCTCTGGATGTCATCTAGTCCAGCCCCCCTGCCTGAGGCGCTGGATCATCCCTATCCAAACATCTCAAGCAAATCCTTGTCTAACCTATTACTAGAATTACACAATCAACCCTGTCACATAACCTAACTTGCCACAGGCAGAGCAGGAGGATAACAGCAGTCAGTGTCATTCTGCTGGAAGGGTTGTCAAAACATACTTGAGACATCCAAGGAAAAGGGCCCACCCCCGTGCCAGAGGAGAAGGCCATGCTAGTCTGACCATGGATTAAATTTCCTTCCTGACCCCAAAAGTGGCAATTGGTCTGACTGTGAGCAGGGGAGCAAGACCCTCTAGTCAGAAACTTACAGGTTCAGTTCCAGCAGGAGCACTGGTATATCCAGTTACAATCCCTAGCATTGGCTTAGGCTGTAATAGAGCAGATAATATCAGGCAAACTGTTACCTAGCAGGTTTTATTATATTTAAACTGATTCTTTTACTTTTGACTGTTCTGTATCATTCTGTCATCGTTACCATATATCACACATGTGGGAACCAAAGTCTTGTGCCACCGGACACCTAATTTTTAAATTGCTCCTACCTTTTTTAGAATGATGTCACCTTTAAAAAGGTTTCAGAATACTTATTAGCTTTTAGGTTATGCCAGTCCTTCCATTTTTAAGTCGATGAAATTATAAATTCCAGGAGTTTTTCTTCTGATACTTACTGGCAAGTTAAAATACATCCTATTTTGTATTTGTTTAGTTTATTGTCTCTTGCTACCTGAATATAACCTTGTGCATTCATTTCAGTTAGTTTTTCTTTTGAATTATTAATATATCCAAAGAAGTGTTAATTTGCATCGCTTGTATTTAAAATAAAGTACGGTCCACTACTTTAAGGAAGGAAAGTCCATTACTTCAAGGGACTTGCATATCCATAATTTTTTTAAGATCAGTAGGGAAATGCAGTGTTGAATCCTAAATACAGACACTGAAAAGCTTAAAAAGTGGGTTTTTGACTATTGTTGCATAGTTTTAGTAGTACTAGTTGCTCATTTCAAAGAAGTTTTCATTAAATAATTAGGCTGTCTCAAAGCTTAACACATTTCTCTGGAGGATACTATTTCTCAGAGTGACTCCAAATGTTTTTTCTCTTCCCTCAGGATTTGTTATTTTCTTCCACATTGTGCAAAGGACAACTGATATGAATTACCTTCTTTTTTTGCTTTTCTCTTGTTGTGGCATTTGGGGTGCTTATCAAGTTCTTATATGTGGATTGCTTGGTTCCAGTGACCTCTTTGGATGTTGTAACAGTAGTAGGGAATCACAGAAAACAAAATTCACTTTCTTTTAGCACTGAAGAAGAAACTTTCATTAGAGTGAGGAAAAAGGAATTATCATAAAATCTACTCAGTCTGTTTCTGCTGCGCTATACAACTCGTGCCTAGATTCTTACTGTCTTTTTTTTTTGCCACTACAAGAATTGGAAATTTCTTCTCACTGTGAAAGTGTGCCTGAGTCTAAAGGCCTATTGGGCCACTGTGATTAAGGCATTCCAGTTCCTTAACCAGCAGCAAACAGGGAGTTGTGTGGTTAGCACCATGTCCAGATGCCTGTGACTCTCCAGCCTGAATGGCCAGGTACCCATTTGCAGCGGGGTTGACTGGGGCAGCCTTTGGCACAAGTCCTAACAAAGCTTAACCTCACACTGCTGGAATCACAAGAAGGCACCTTAACTGTTGTGCCACTGTGCCCTTCACCCTATTGGATGAACCTCTAAGGAGTCTTGTAGGTATGGGTCAGTCGCAAGTAAAATGATTTTTCCCTCTGTCTTGATATGTCCTGTTCCTCTTAGCTTGATTTCAGTGATCTTTTTGTACATGTAAAGTCAGAAACAACTTGAGAATTCTAAACTATAGGTTGTCATATAAGCTATGGAAATATTAATAAGTGTCAGTCAGTTGGAGTCAATCCTGAAAGAAATAAGAATATGTAAAGCTCCTTCTAGATGACTTGTTTGTAAAAGTAAAAAAAATAAAAAGCCTAGCCTCTAGATCAGTGGTGCCAAGATACCTAGTGTGTACAATTAACTGACACTTTCTGTTAAAATTGCTACTTAGCTCCTCTAATGCTAGGCTATTAGAAATTAAAATATTGAGTTAAATAATTGAGGAGGACTCTTTATCTATTTGCTTCTGACTGTCACTAGAACTATTATTTTGATACTTATGTAATTCTAAATTGACATAATTTTTATTGAGGGCTGGAAAAAGTGAATCGGAAGTTCAATGTCCGTATATCAGCTTTTTATTTAACGTGGTATTTAAGGAGTTAATTTCCAGGTGAATTCTGTACCATTACATCACCTCAGAAAGGGGGTGGGAGATAAGTTGCTTATCAGCAAGGAGACAACAGATTTCATAGTAATACATTCTTACTATCTGCTGTATACTATTTCTTACTATATAGCCATTTTTTCTGTGAATGTTTTCTGAGAAAGATGACTCCTTATAAATAAATACTCCTGAACTATTTTGTGCTGTGCTCTGTTCAAGTACACACCCCTCCTTTGCCTTGGCAATAGTTTCTTCTGATGATGCAGACTCTAACCTAGCTGATTAACTTCCTTGTAGAAACTGGTGTGCTAGTGCAGGAAGAGATTGCAACTGAGAAGAGTGAAATGGGGAATGTACAAAAAAAGTTTACCAGCAAAGGAGATGGCTGTAGGTCAGACGATAAGGAGACACAGAATCAGAGGGAGCATCCTGAGAGTGGAGCAAAAAAAGGCAGATCTGAAAACAGGACATCTAAACATTTACCAGATCGAGAAGCTGAAGTTAATGGCTATTTGAACAACAATAAAAAAAAGAGTGGGAACAGTAACATTAAGGAGGAGAACCCCAGATCGTGTGGGACAGTGTCTTCATCTTCTGGAAAAAACATTTCTACTTTGCTTCCTCCTACTGCAGCAAAACTAAAAAGTGAAGGAAATGAGTTATTTAAGAATGGACAGTTTGGAGAGGCTGTGTTGAAATACTCGGAGGCAATTGAAAGTGCCGTCAATTTAGGTAAGTGATGTTTCTTTATAAAACGACTAGATTGTCTGTTTAAAATTGCTTGAAGACCCACAATTTAGCCATCACAGAGTATCCCTATACTCTTGGCAGGAGCTGATGGGCAATGTATACCAGTGCAGTGAATAATAGAGTCAAGTTAAGAAATGATTCACATAAGATACCGTAGTGTAAAGTTATCTTAAACTTCTCTGTAGTATTGCTTCTAGTGTTTGTTTGCATAACTATATATTGTAGATGGCATAACTGAATAAACAAAAGCTCCTTGAAGCTTTGCATCCTCAGCAAACTGCAGCACTGCAGTGCAACTGGGAACCTATAGTAATCTTTTAGTTCTAATTTAAATGTAATGTCAGTAATGAATTTTCACTGTCATTGCGTATCCTTTTAGGAGTGCAAAATCCAGATGATTTAAGTATCTTATACTCAAACAGAGCAGCATGTTACCTAAAAGAAGGCAACTGCAGTGACTGCATTCAAGACTGTAACAGGTAAACAGTGCCCTTTCATTGTAGGGGAACCACATTCCTGATGACTAAACATTTAAATTGGTTTCTTGTTGTTGAAATACTATTTTAACTGAGTCATCTTTAAGGCTAACTCTTTATCATATTTATTTGTCAAAATATCTTCGGGATTGGTTAGATGTTAGGTTCAGGGTGATTTAAAAAATATTCCAGGAGTTAAGTTTTAAATGCACATAGAATTGCACGAGTGGCTTTAATAACATTCATTTTAAATTAGTATAGACTCAGTAGTGAACAGTTCACTAAAACTCTATTTATATATAAATGCTGTTCACCATAAATCTTTTAATCATTTTGGAAACCATTTTCAATCATGTTTACAATGTAAGTGTGTGTTTGTAGGTTTCTTTTGCAGGTACACTTTGCATAGTTATAAATTGTATTAACAGCTGTACTCAGAAACTTAGCTACAGTCCTGTCATGTACTTATAGTTTGCCTTGACTCCTCCCAAAAATCTCCCTCCAAACCCCTCTTACTCTTGAAATATTGCCGTTTTTATCTAAAGTGATATTTATTACATTTTTATAAATTTTGGTTCATGGGTCAAGAGACCTTAAGGTTTAAGCAGAATTCCAGTAATCAGAACTCTCATCAACCAAATTTTTTCTTTCAAAGTGTGATGTACAGCTTAAACTATAAAAATGACTGGATATATTTAGAACCAGATTCAAATTAGTTCTTTAGGTGCTGAACTGGGACTTAGGGTAAGACTTTGATGCCTGAATCCCTAGGAGTGATTCAAATTGGCCTGGTGCCAGTCCCCTACAAACACATTATGCACCTGAATCCATATATGTGGTTCAGTACATACAAGGGTGCAGTTATCCGCGCTTGGCTACACGTACCTGTGTAAAAGCCAACCAGAGCTCCCACTTAAGTGGCTGGCTGTCCCATAAGTTCTAGGATAAATTCAAATCAGCCCTGGGAGGTAGCCAAGTTCTGCTTAAGACCCTGGAGAGGGCTATGCCATTATACAGACAAAACTGTAGTGAATGTACATTGACAGCACCAAATTCAGCTGAAGAATGCCTTTGGTAGTGGTGCTTACTTCTTGTCCAATAGCCTAATAGGCAGACCATTCACTCTAGGATTTGGAAAATGTGGTTTGTAGTCTCTCGCCTTTATCCTGAAGGCATATAAACATCATAGTGTAAACAGGCTAGCTAAAGGCATTTTTGACATTCCTCTTGAAGCTGGGCCACTAGGCAGAAAAGTGTGCAAGAATCATGGGGCCAGAATGAAAACAAGCAAGAAGGAACCAGACTATAGTGTACTGATTGTCATGGGGGATGGAGACTTGGGATCTAGGCCCTTGTCCTTGCCTCCCAGCACTGATTATGCATTTTACTGACTTATAAATCAGTGGTTCTCAAAGTTTTAGGCTCTGGGCTTCCCTCCTTAGACTCTATGGATTTCCAATTAGAAATTTCTGGGTTTATCTTATGAGTCATGGATGGGTATCTGCCATTTAACAGTGCTAATTGTGCAACACTAAGACCCTTAAAAGGATCTCACAGCATCCCACACTGCTGTAGGACCCTGGCTGAGAATCGGTGCTTTATGAAGGCATTAAGTAAAAAACAAAAATACTTAGGATCATAGGAAAGTAGAGCTGGAAGGGACCTCATGCGGTCATCTAGTCCAGCTCCCTGTACAAGGCAGGATCATCCCTAACTAAACCATCTTAGCCAAGTGTCTGTTTAACCTGCTTCTGAAAACTTCCAAGGATGGAGATTTTACAGCTTCTCTAGGTAGCCTGTTGCAGTGCTTGACTACCCTCCTAGATAAAAAGTTGTTTTCTAATTTCCAACCTAAATTTCTTTTGCTGAAGTTTGAGACCATTAGTCCTATTTTTGTCCCCAGCAGCCATAGAGAAAAGTCCTCTGTCCTCTTTATAATCACCCATATCCCCCCCACCCATCTTCTCTTTTCCAAACTAAATTACCCTAAACCTTTCAGCTTTTGTTCTCATATTTCCTAGGTCTCTAATAATTTTTTTTGCTCTTTGTTGGATTCTGTCTGTCCATATTTTTGTTGAAGTGTGGGACCCAAAACTGGACACAGTACTCCAGAAGAGGCCTCACCCGTACTGAAGAGAGTTAAAGATTTATTTTCCTTCATTTACAAGTGATAGCTTGTGTTAATACAACCACAGATGACTGGAAAGGGGGGCACATGCCCCTCCTGAGATTGGCCCCCAATTCGGCACCACTCTGGATGGGGCAGGTTTTTTGCTGCGTGGGTTGGTGGTGTGTTGGATCAGGGGAGCACTAAGCTGCGGCACAAAAGTTTAGGAGTGGATATGGGGCTTTTGGCCCCCCCCTCCGGGACCACCCTCAAATTGTGTCCCCCAAGACTCAGGAAGCACCAGTCACCCCTGAATAGAACAAGCCAGTATGTTGTTGACTTTTTTGTAACAGGAGCACACTGTTGGCTCACATTCAGCTTATGGTCCTTTGTAATCCTCAGATCTTTCCCTGCAGTACTGCAGCCTAGCCAAGCATTCCCCAGTTCGTATTTGTGCCTGTGGTTATTCCAGCCCAACTGCAGAACTTTTCACCTGTCCTTGTTGAATTTAATCTGAGTGATTTTTTTTTTTTGCACAATTTTCTGTGAAATCACAATTTCAGCAAGTCTCTAGTAATAGATAACTTGAGATGAGGTCGGATACACCCTTCCACATCACTGGGTTTTTTTGGCTTCTGAATTGCCTTTTGGGATGCCTACTATTTCCTATTCTTTTTATAGAGCCTGTAGATGCATAAGCCTGCATCACCTTAGGCAACTCTGAAAGGTCTCCACTGATTCTCGGAGATGCTAGAATTTACTTCCTAGGGCAGGCACACAAGTTAGTATTGAGCTGCCTAAAATCTCAGGTACTTTCTGAGACTGTTTGAATCCTGCTCTTAGTTTTTATTAATTAAATGTAAATCATATTGCAAATAATACAATATCTGCTTTAAAAGTTTCCTTACAACAAGGACTTTCCTTTTTTAATTTAGCTTTGTATTCTTTAATATAAATTTCAATTTTGGGGTAATTACTAATAGTTGAAAGAGACATTTACTGACTAAAAGTACATATTTATATGAAACAAGTCTCTTCTTCTCTTAGTTTCAGAGTATAACTCTGTCATTATAACAATGCTATTAATCTTTCTTCTGTATTTTCACTAAGTTGAAACTCGTTTCATGATTATTAATAATTTATAATACCCATAATGTTGTAGATGATTTCAGTAGACAAGGAGGTATTGTGTCTGCCTGTCCTTAGGGCCCACAAATAGACAGAAATTAGGGGAAGTGGAAAATGGTATGTTGTTTTGAAAAGGTTAACATACATGCCAAGAGGATTGCCTGTAAGTGGCATAGCAGAAATACACAAGGTTTAAGAATATGTTTTGGTTTTTTTTTTTAAATTGATTTCAGCCATACCTAAGAGCACTTATATTTAGAGGTACACTGATACATTGGTCTGATATTGGATCAGTGCTCTTCCTGCCATGGCAGGGGTTCGGACTAGATGATCTGCTCAGGTCCCTTCCGACCCTAGAAACTATGAAACTATGAAGCACCAGTATAAGGAAAATTGATTGCATTGGAAATTGGTCTGATGCGGCGATAATTTGGCTGATAAATGCCTGTGCATGCATGCTGCTGCAGCGCAGCATGTAGGTCAGGAGCACAGCCTGGGAGCTTGAAGAGCTGTGTGCAGCTGGTAAGTCTGTTGTGGTGGACTGGGGGGTGCAGATCAATGCCCCCTGTAGTAAGGGAGGGAGTGGGGCTGGGGAACGTGCTGCCAAGCTGTGGCGGGGCACAGGACAGAGCCGCAGCTTGTCCAGAGGGCACGGGATGGGGAAGGGGGGGTGGCTCCTGCCACTGCACTCACCCCAGGATGGTGGGGGGAGCATGTGCTCCCAGATCTGTGCAGGGGGCAGGGGCGAGGTGGGCTGCAGCCGTGGGCTGGGGCTGGGACCGGGGCTGTGCTAGGCTCTTTCCAGTGCATGAGGGCTGTGCTCGGGGCTGTGCTCCTGTCATGTGGGGGGCTGTGCTCAAGGCTGCACTCAGGGCAGGCAACAGCAGCGCTGGGAGGGGGGGCTATGCTATAATTTGGGGTGGCTGCAGACCCTCCGGAACCCCCCTCCCAGCACTGCCACCACCCGCCCTGAGTACAGCCCTGGCCCAACCCCCCTTTACCCCCCGCCATGTACCGGGAAGAGCCTGGCACAGCCCTAGCCCACAGGTGCAGCCCCCTCTGCCCCCCCCATCCCCTCCTGGGGTGCATGCAGTAGTGGGAGCCACCCCACACCCTGCACCCCCCGGATGAGCTGTGGCTATGTCCAGCGCCCCACTCCGCCCTGGCTGGACAGTGCCTGCCCCAGCCCCACTCCCTCCCTCACTGCAGGGGGACATTGATCTGTCACCCCCCATGCCCCTTCCCTTCCCCCTCCCTGTCTACCACAACAGACTTACCAGGTCCACACAACTGTATCGGAAATCAGATCAGTATCGGCTGATATGCCTCCTTAAAAATCGGCTGTCAATATCAGCCCCCAAAATCTCTATCGATGCAACATTGCACCCCTACTCATATTGATAAAAAAATATGTTCTGCATGTTTCTCTTAAGTTTTTACTTACTTCTTGGAAATATTCCAGGGACCCTCCCTATTTAGTTCCTGTTCTGCTTGAGAAACTAAGGTTGCAATCACTTTCTATTTAACTGCAAGAGGGCAGGCGTGGCTTTCATATACTAACTTCTATTTCCCTGGACGAGTGCTTTTACTTGATTTTTGTTACATGGCTATCATTCTCCAGTCATACCCTAGAAATATATGTGGGACAGCTTTCTTTCCCAGGTTGCAGTCTTCTCTAAGAAATGTCTCTCCCCCCCCATTGAATTTACAACTAGTGTTTAGATTGCACCTAATTTCCTTGTATAATGAACCTGGAAATTGGGTTAACGTTTTACAGGTTAAAAAGAAGACATTTCTGAGCCTCTGTAATTCAATTAAGTGATGCAGAATTGAATTTCTAAACTGTATTTAGCGATAGGAGAGATTTTGGTAGTTTAACTAAAAAAATCTTTATTATTTTTTGAGATTTTTAGGGGGGTACCCATCCTAACAGGTAGCTGCTTAAAATCCTCTGAATTGTACTATTCCAGTACATAGCTTTTTACCTCATTATTAGGAATTCATGGTTAAGAAATGCTTTTGTGGGCTTTTGCAGAACTCATTGTGTTGCTGGAATAATCCATAGAGTTCGGAAGGAATCTTGTTTCCCCTGTGGTAGGGGCTGAGTTTGCTGTCTGCTAGCGTCACTGCCAGCGGCATTGGAGAAATGCTATAATTGACTAGTAAGCAACTGAAGCTGTTGTGCAAGGAAAAAACCTATAGCCAAGAACAGGCAATGATGTGTTGCTATATGCATTATCATTATTACAGTGGAGGAGGAACTGAAAACTGTTAAGAAACAGACAGAAACAGCATATGTTTGAGAACCACACAGATCTAGGCACCACTGAAGCAGAAAAACCACCTCCCTTTAGATTTTACCTCACAACAGTATTCTGCTTTTCTGAAGGAATAGATCTGTTAAATCTAATGGAAGTAGTTTTCCAAACTTAGTATACACATGTAAATAAAATATATGGTAATATACATACTAACATGTACATGACTGTAGTCCTATTTTACGTGTTTAAACCTAACCACTTAAGCTTTGCTTTTTATCCTATGTTAAATTAACTCCAAGATGAAATTGTAGAAGTACTAAATGTCATTAGATGATTTCATTTTAATTTACTCACCAATTCAATTCCAAGCTTGCACTGATTGTCATCTATTTTCTTTTGTAATTTCTCCCCCCCCCCCAGAGCTCTGGAACTTCAACCATTTTCACTTAAACCTCTCCTGCGAAGAGCGATGGCATATGAGTCCATGGAGCGGTATCGGCAAGCTTATGTTGATTTTAAAACAGTTCTACAGATAGACAGTGGGATCCAGGCAGCAAATGACAGTGTTAATAGGTAACCTCGATTTGTGACTTGCCTATTTGTATGTGAGGCTGAATGGAAATGTAAGAGTCTGCATTTTGTTTATTTTCCTTTATCGTTTCTGTAGTCCCTGAAAGTTAGAAGTATCCTATATGGAGATGCAAGTTGTTTGTTGTTAGTTAAATTCTTGTGGCCCAATCATTACCTATTACTGTAGCTACTTTATGATTGATTAGACCATGAAGATGAGCTTGAATGAGGACTTTTCTGACACTGTATATTAAAAAGAATTTTAAAACATCTGTAGCAATGACCTCTTGGTAGAACAGACATTTAAATGCTATGCCTTCAGCACCTGTGAATATGTACTGTTTTTCCTTCTGTTCCTTCCTACTGTTTTTATTTTTTTTCCTTTCAGTGTATTGTGCCTTTCAGTCTTGTCCTGCACTTTCCTTCTTTTTTGATCTTCTTTTGTATTCTGCCCAGTGTGCTGGCAACACCAAAATGAATCTTGTGTGATTCCTGATCGTGCAAGTGCTAGGCTAACATCAGGAGTCTTCTAGCCTACAGAAATCCGTGTTTTATTATACTGTATTAAATTGTGCTGCCAAGTACCTCATTAAAGAATGGTGGGAAAATTAGCTAAATGTAAGAGAGCCATTTCAGCATCTGCTTACATTATATTTCTATACCTCAGAATGGTAGAAATATCCATGTTAAACTTAATCAACTGATATTTAGTAGTGATGGAATTTGCATCTTTATTTTCTCATTTACAATACTCATAGGATCATAGAAAAGTAGGGCTGGAAGGGACTTCCTGAGGTCATCTAGTTCAGCTCCCTGTACAAGGCAGGATCATCCCTGACTAAATCATTCCTATGTCTAAGTCATTCTATGTCTGTCTAAGCTGCTCTTGAAAAGTTCCAGAGATGGAGATTGCACAATTTCTCTAGGTAGCCTGCTCTAATACGTGACCACCCTCATAGTCAGAAAGATCCTCCTAATCTCCAACCTAAATTTCCCTGGCTGGAGCTTCAGGCCATTGCTTTTAGTCCTGTCCCCTACAGCCACAGAGAAAAGACCACCTCCATCCTCTTCAGGTATTTGAAGACTGTTATCAAATCCCTCTTCATCTTCTCTTCTCCAGACTAAATAACCCTAGTTCTTTCTGCCTTCTTTCTGCCTTTCTCCATAAGTCTTGCCTCCCAGGTCCCTAATAATTTCTATTATTCTGTGCTGGACTCTTTCCAAACTGTCCACACCGTTCTTGAAGTATGAGGCCTAAAACTGGATACAGTGCTCCAGGTGAGAGCAATGCTGAATAGAATAAAAGAACCACTCCTTGATTTGTAAGTGACACTCCTGCTAATGCAACAAGAGCACACTGTTGGCTCAGATTCATCTTATGGTTCATTGCAACTCCCAGGTCCTCCTCTGTAGTACTGCAGCCTAGCCAGTCATTCCCAGTCTATATTTCTGCATGCTATTGTTCTATCCCAAGTGCACTTGTCCTTGTTGAATCTCATTTTACTTATTGTGGACCATCACTGCACTCCATCCAGATGATTTTGGATCCTAGCCCTGCCCTCAAAGTATCTGCAGTCCACACAACTACAAATAGTTTTCTAGGAAAATTAATATATGTTATAGTAGGTGTTTGTCTTTTAGTATATGATATGGGGGGGGGGTTTGTTCCAAGATGGCAACCCTCCGCTTCCAAAAGGAGTATTTCCAGGGGGGAAGGGGGAGGAGAGGGGCAAGAGGAAGGACTTTGAGTGGCAAAGGTCAGGGGGTTAGGGGCAGGACTTCCAGTCCCAAGATGGTGACCAGGGGGTGGAGCACCTGTCAAGGGGTGGGGTTACTTTTGTGGTGCTTGACAGGTCACCAAAACTCATTAAGCGACCCTCCAGCTGAAATAATTGCCTGCTCTGACTTAAGGCAACCTCATCAGAGCAGATTTTGCCTCTGATGTTCTTTTCTTTCTAGTTCTACAGCTTGCATAGTGTTTTAAATTTGAGGTGTTTGTATATATCAAGAGCAAAATATCAGAGCTGAGAATTTTGCCTTTAACAGTTTGAAAAACATTAATGATATATTAAAGTATATTATTTATGTTAGATAACAAAATACTGATGTAGGTGGGGTAGAATAGTTTTACATCAACGTTACTGCCAGAAAGGTCTCCTTGTAAGATAGTGGTCTTTTGGACTGGATTAGTCGTCCATTTAATGCAGAGGCAGGCAATTATTTTGGGCGGAGGGCTGCTTACTGAGTTTTGGCAAGCCATCAAGGGCCACATGACAGGCAGCCCAGGGCAGATAAATATTAATTTTCTAAATTTTTTTAGGGGCCCCGCAAACTGGATAGAATGGCCTGGCAAGCTGAATCTGGCTCACGGGTTGCATTTTGCCCACCCTGATTTAATCATAGAATCAATGAGTGGGAAGGGACCTAGACAGATCATCTAGTCCAACCCCCTGCCATGGGCAGGAAGGAGCACTGGGGGTGGCAGGGGTCATAAGACCCCAGCCAGGTACCTATCCAGTCTCCTCTTGAAGATCTCCAGGGAAGGTGAGAGCACCACCTCTCTGGGAAGGCTCTGGCCACCCTTACAGTGAAGTAGTTCTTGCTAATATCTAACCTAAAGCTATCCTCCCTCAGCTTGTGGCCATTCCTGGTGACTCCAAGGGGGGCCCTGGTGAACAGACTTTCCCCGAGTCCCTGCTGGTGGCCCCTGATAAGGTTGTAGGCAGCCACAAGATCCCCCCTCAGTCTCCTCTTGCGGAGACTGAAGAGATTCAGGTCCCTCAGCCTCTCCTCATAGGGCTGGCCACGGAGGCCCTCAACCATACAAGTGGCCTCCTCTGGACCCTCTCCAGGTTCTCCACGTCCTTCTTGAAGTGCGGTGCCCAGAACTGGACACAGTACTCCAACTGCGGCCTGACCAGCACTGCATAGAGGGGGAGCAAGACCTCTCTGGACCTATTAGTGATAACACAACAATTAAGTTTTGTAATAAGAGATTGAAATTATGTTGCTAAGTGACATTATACTCAAGGCCAGATTCATAAATACAGGTAAATGACCTAGGTTTACATGACTGCCAGCAGTGACAGTGAGAGGGAGTTCTAAGGAGCTATATTTCAGTGACTGAGTAACAATATTTATCCAGGGTCTCAGATTTGTATTTCAGTGTAGTGTCACCTTTTGGAAGGAAGAGTCTGAGTTATGGATAGTTGTACAGAATGTTGAACAAACTTACTACAGGTATTCCTTAAAAAGGTATGGGTGAGCCCCAAACATTTTTAGAGTGATTTTTCTTTTAGGCTAAAATATATTTTAAGGACTTTAATTAATTTGCCTCGGTTCATTTCCCTGTTTTTGTATCTAATAGCAGGTCAAATAATATCTAGCCTTCCCTAAAATTTCTTACTTCCATTAATATTTATATTACGGTAGCAATGTCTGGAATCAGGCCTTGATATGCTGGAGCTTTACAAACCTAGAAACAGACACAGTGTCTGTTTGCTTAATTTTCAGTTTAAAACATTTATGTGAAATACAGTTTTTCTTGGTACCTCCAAATCCCTATATAACTTCTGTTGTCAGCTGCCATACCTTAATTTCTTTGTTTGTTATAAAGTGTGTAAATTTTGTGTGCACGCTGTCAAGCCTCTATTTCCATTAAGTTACAGTAAGTGTCTCTGTCCAAGAATGTCAAAATTACATTTGCTTTCTTATTCATACTTAAAAATGCATAGGAGAAGAGATCAGATATTATTCATTGAGCAAGAACCCTCATACTTTACACTTTCAACAAAAGAACTCAAGTTTTGTTTATTTTTTAAAAGTAGGACAGGACATTGAGTTTATTCCCTCTGATTCTTACAAAGTTCAGTTTCCTTTAACTTTTTCCTATCGGGGCACCAAAGATGGGCAGAAAGGATACCAGTTCACTTTCTCCTCTGTAGAGCTGCAGCCCAGTGCGTGAGTGGCTGGCGGTGGGAGACAGTAAGGGCAGCATAGCCTCCTCCATCCATTGATACTGGCACTGCTGGTGGTGCAGGGGTCCTGGCTGCAGCAGCAGTAACAAGTCTGCTGCCCTGCTCTGTCCTCCTGCACTGGGCCCACCTACTGGGCTAGAGAGGTGATTCCTGCCTGTGCCAGTCTGGCCAGGCTGCAGCCCCATGCCCGCTGTGGGTGCACAGATTTGGGGTGCACATGCCCCCTCATGCCCCCACCCTGGCCCCACACACTAGGGGGCTGGGGCTTAGGGGTGGATGGGAGCAGGTCAGGAGTGAGGGGCACCAGCAGGGCTGGGGGGCTGTTTTCTACTTTGTACTGTGTCAGGAGTGACCTCGATGTTTACAAATTGGTCCTGGTACAAATAAATTTGAGAACCACTGCTCTAATGGATGGTACTTTTCCCCTGCTTAGCAGTTTGCTACTAGAATCTGAGTCTATGTGTTGTGCTTTGTTCTGGGTTGGTGAAATCACTGATGTCCAGCTGGTTTTGTGCAGTTTTACTTCTGTTATTTTTATCTTGTATATGCATGCAAGCACTTCTGGTAGTTCCCCAAGGTAGATTTTGTAACTTGCTTAGTGTTAAGCTTACTTCATATTTTTCCCTTAACATTCTTCATTTTCTCCTCTCTAGGCCTTCCTTATGTTTTAGCTTCACTGCTCATTACTCTTTCCTCCCTGGCAACCCATCACCTTATTTCAGTTGCTTCTTCCTTCTTCTCTTCTGCTGGTAATTCATTTTCAGCTTGGAAATTCTTAGAGCATAGATCTGCTGCATATATTGAATTTTTAATACAGTTTATTCTGTGTCTTACCTACTTCATTTATAGTTTAAAGTGCTGACCAAATATGGAAAAGGATATTTTCAGTGAGGAAAGACAATTGAAAGGGGTTTTTTACTTTTTAATGTGAACTGCAAAGTAAAAAGGGCAGAGATCCTACCTTTACTTTCCCTTTTAATTTAAAAGGGTAACCTCAAAATGTATTTTTTTTTTAATATTTTGCTATTTGTCTTTTATACAAGGTCCTGGCTGCTTGTTTTTATTGAAGGTTTTTGTAAAGTTCCTGAGGCAGGGGGTGGGGAGTGGGAGTGCAGGGAAAAGGGAGGGGAGTAGATGGTGACATTGGGAAAATTAGATGACCCTGAGTTGCTGATCTTCCTTTCCTGCTTGCAGAGGTGGGGATTACTCATGTAAAAGACAGGTTAAAATGTTTTTAAAAATTGAGGTTAGCTTTGTATATCATAAAGAAGAATATCTGAGAGGGTGAGAAATTATTACTTTGCAGTGCACCTTTTAAAAAAATAGCAGTTGTCTGAGAGAGTTTATTACATGATGCTTGTTTCTTCCTTTTGTGATTTCCCGACCTTATACACATTGAAGAGTAATAGCAAGACCTCTCATTCTAAAGGTTCTTACTTACAGACGCTGTTCCTTATCGTGGTATGGCAGAACTAAGATTTGGGGCTCTTCTTTTCCAAAAAGTTTTAATTAGCAGCATTTTATTGCGTCTGTGCCCAACATCACATTTCTGGGCTGATTTTGTTTTTTCAGTTTTATGTTGAATTGACTGATAGTTTTGCAGTTGGCTTTTAGTTATTGTGAGAGTGCAGATGCCATGGCACTGGGCTCTGACTGCCTCCTTCCTCTCAGTGAATTGACTTATCATTCTAATTGTCTCTTTCTGCTTTTAATATCTCTTATTAAATTGCATCAGAACTACTCAGCAGCTTTTGTTGCCAGCTTTCATTTGAGAATGGTATTATATTTTTCTGATGGGTGCCAGTAAATTCTAACATTTCAGCATGACTGAATGTTTTGTTACAAAATACCATGTTTGGCCTAAGAGCTTTCCTCATGCAGAAGAATAAGTGGGTACAATGGGTTGCTACATCAAGTCTCGTCCTCATCCCATCCATCCCAGGCAAGGGCCAGGGACAAACGTGGTTTGCTCCCCCGAGCATTTAGAATTAGTTATTAGGAATCTTTCAGTTGTCTATGGACATTGCATCAGACCATCTGTGCAATGTCAGAGCCACATTGCTACAAAGGCAAGAAGAGCTGGGCAGGAAGGAAACGGGTCCATGTTTAGTGTGAAGTTGGACATGCTCCTCACTCAGAATAGTATTTTAGCAATTTTTTATCTGACTTTCTGTGTGTAACATAACTCATTTTACAGTGAAAAAAAAAGAGGAAATTAAAAAGGTATATAGAGTGCCCATAATTTTATAAAAACTAGCTTTATTTTAGGGAATGAAGCTGTAGTGAAGTTAAATGAAAAATAAAAAATCTTTTGCAAAAGAATGGCTCAATAATGATTTTGGGAACATAACACAGAGCTTACTGTAAGGCATCTTTGCTTACTACACCAACAAACATTGTTACTGTTCAGTCAGGGAAAAAATTAGGCAACCTGATAATGTGGAATGAGTGAAAAATATCTTGTATACCATTCTTATGTTTGCTTTTAAAAATAAATTTACATATATCAATTTAGCACAGTGCACAGAGCAATACATCATACAAGTCTAACAGTTTATCAGAATTCATTTTAATTCTGTTACTTTGTAGAATAGTAGAACATTACATGATAAAATATACTTAAATCAGTAAAACTTCTCATAGGCCTAAGTAAGGAGAGGAGTATTTGGCCCTATTCTCCTTGTATAGTTATACTATAATACTGAAATACCCTTAATTTTATAAGCATTACTCATATTTAAGGTCTACAGAAAATTTAAGAGAATAAAATTAAGGGTGAAACATGTCCATCTGCTTTGCTTTTCTTTATCCCTACCACATCCTTAATGTTACATTCAATGCTATTCATCCTTTTTCAGATGTATATCCTTTCCTAAATTTATTTAATGCAATTACATCTGAAAAATATATTTAATATATTTTTGCATGAGTGCTATGTCAAATGATCAAACTTCAGGATCAAGAAATACAGTTAAAATATGCAGTAGATTTTAATCTTGTCTGAAGTAGCACTTCATTTATTAGATTCATGTGCTGTCCTCCTGACAAAAGGCTCAGGGTGGATTACAGTACGTTTTTCTAAATTAAGAAGGCCTCTCAGTGACTGGTTTTATTAGTGATTAATATTTCTTTTTTTTAAAAGTTGCTACAAAACTATACAGCTTTGTATAACCCTTGATGGGCTAATTTGATTACCTGCGCTGAGGTCTTGATCCAGTGCTTTCTCTCTCCTCTACTGCCTCCTTTAGTTTCTTTAGTTTATATTTTTAGGCTGGATTTGGGGAGCTATCTTGCAGTTAATCTTGTACTTAAATGTTTTGCTGGCTCAGGTGGAAGTTAGTTTCTCCACTGCTGAAAAGACTCTTCCATTTTAACAGGAAGCATAAAAACAAATTAAAAAAGGAATTTAGGACCTGTTTCTTTAAAAAAAATGAAGACAGTACATTTTAAATTGGGCACTCAGTTTTTTGTGTTTTTTTAATGAGTTTTTTTTACTGAAAACTGCTTAGTTATTTTTAACTTTAAATAATAAAAAGAATAAATATATGGAAAATGTGTGTTTTTCTTTAGAATAACAAGAACTCTAATAGATCAGGATGGTCCAAGTTGGAGGGAGAAGCTATCACCAATTCCAGTTGTCCCTGTTTCTGCTCAACAGCACAGATGGGATGGAGGAACCTTTACTTCAGAGACTAAGCAAAAGAGCGTCACAGATGTCAGTGGAGATAAACAGCTGCAGATCAACAGTATGTGTAACATATGCACATCTATAGTTTCAAAAAGGAAAATTTAAATGTGAAAAGCAAGAAGCTTTGGGGGCTGGATCTGGGGGAGTGCTGTGGTGTGGTTGCACCTCTCCTTGGCTGTCTAGCACATGTCCAGTGAGCTGTCCACTGCCAAGATCTCTGGTCTCAGCTGCTGGTTGCATCCCCCATACCAGTAAGGCGCCCAACCCACGCCCTAGTTCCAGTATCCTCGATCCACTCCTGGAAGCATCCCATTACTTTTCAGAATGTTAGCTGAAGAAAGTTAGCTGACCACAAATATTTCTGAAAAGAAGAATTAGATTTAATTTGCATGTGGACCCAGTGGTGCTCAGTGTTTAGGCCAGTCTGTGGTCTAGATTGGAACCTGCATCTCAGGATCAGACCTGCACACCCAGATCAGCTGCTGCTGTCTGACCCTGCATGCTGGGATTAGGGACCAGAAGGAGCCCTGCATTGCCTCCGTCCCATCTAGCTTGCTTGGACTGGGGGCCCAGGACCTCCTGACACCTTCACCCAGCCCTGCAGGCTGGGATTAGGGCCCCAGACCCAATGCCACCTCCACCAGGTTCCATGTGCCAGGGTCCTGTAGACAAATTTATATTTACAGTTACTTGTCTTTAAGTTATTCAGAATTGCTTTCTTTTCAATAATAAGTTGAAAAATGTTGTTTGTTTAGTTATTTAATTTGGCCTGGCTAGTATGGTGACAGGCACTTTGTTACATGTGTGCTCAATCCACCTGTGTCAATGATAGCACTACAGGAGAATCAGGTTCCTCAGAAGACCTGTCATCCTTCCAGAGTGTGCAAGAGAGAGAAGGCTGAGGGCAGTGAATGTGTGGCGCTGGGGATCTGCACTCCCATTGCACCTTGCAGTATACCTGTACCAGTGTATTGGGGAACATTTGCACTGTCAGATTCCTATTTGGCCCATTGGGTGAGACCAGGGAGAAAACTGTGACTTGAGGGAGTTACTCTATCTCTCTTGAGCTACCTTGGGGAAAATGTGTTGTTCTTAGGATAAATTATTAATTTGTGCATAATAAATTGGTCGGTCTTTAAATAACATTTGGTCCTTTTGAAACCTAGGTGAAAAAACTGAAGAGAGGTTCAGAATCCTGAAGACTGAAGGGAATGAATTAGTAAAGAAGGGTAAATATAATGAAGCTGTAATAAAGTACAATGAGTGCATGAAGTTGAACTCCCAGGAGAGTGCTGTCTACACTAACAGGTAAGGAGCTGAAATCTCTGCCCCATTTTGTAAGTTTCCTAGATAGCAATGTTTGATTCTAAATCATGACTGCTGATAATTTCATGCACTTTACTCACTTTTTTTTATATTACAGAAGATTGGATTTTCCAATGTGGTTGTGGATTTTCCAATTTTGAGTTGTGGTTCAAATAACTTCTTATTTTAATCCATAGTTATCTTTATTTTTTTAGGGACAGCATGTTTAAAGTGATTGAAAATGTTTTCCAAGGTCTCTATGTAAGAGACTGTAGTAACTGTTGTAATGAATTTGTAAAATGAAAATTTGTTGTATTTTGTTCCATTTTCCAAGAATATCAGTGTCATGGTTGGATACCTTAAATCTCATATGTAGTGACATCGTGAGAATTATGGAAAAATTTCAAATATCTTTCAGAAAAGCTGTACATTTTTTAAAGATAAGTGGTCATAATCAGGGATCCTGATTTTCTCTGATTAAAAAAAATCTAAAATTCTCGGATTAAAACACTAAAATCCATGATTAAAATGAAACAGCAGTTTGGAACCCTCCCAGTGCCTCAGTCACTATAATAAAAATGTATTCTAATACCTATATATTTTAGTATTTGATTTTGCATTTTTTATCATGGAAAATCAGAGCTCCCCCTGCCCCCTTAGCCCCCTGGCCTTGTTGGCGCTCCTTGCCTCCCACTCACAGCCCAGTGCCTCCCCAGCCCTGCTGGAAGTGAGCCCCAGCTGACAGGGTTACTAGAGCTGGGTCTGCAGTCCCCTGCCCCTTGCAGCAGTGCCTGAGCCTCAGCTGCCACCCATAGGAAGTGGCAGCTGCTGAAGTGTAGCGGAGCATGGAGCCCAGCTCCCTTTCCCCCATGGGCAGCACAGCTGAGCGGAGCCTGTGGGGAGGGCAATGCGGGCTGCCTGCTGCAGGCTCAGGCGGGAGGTAGGGCTGGCTCTCTGTTGCCATGCACACTACTGGGGGTAGAAACAGGTAGGACCCAAATCCCCCAGATCTGTGCACAGGGTGGGTAAAGGCTGCCCACTACAGGCTTGAGCTCCCCACCCTGCTGCCCTCCCCATGGGGCCTCCACAGCCTGGTGGGCAAGACCCAGTATGGCAGAGTAGAGTGAAGCTGGGTAGGGAAGTTCCTTGTCACTGTGAGCTCTGTGCTGCCCTGGCAAGGCACCCCCTGCCCACTCAAAGCAGTGAGGGGCACAACCCCAAACTGCCACCCCCACTGCTGCAGGATGGGCAGGGGGCACCTTGCCAGGGTGATGGGCTCACAGCAGCAAGTAGCTTCCCCACCCGGCCCCATTCTGCCCCACTGCACTGGGTCCTGCCCACTGGGCTACGGAGGTCCTGGGGGAGGGCAGCAGGGCGGGGAGCCCTAGTCTGTAGCGGGCAGCCTGCACCCGCCCAATGCATAGATCTTGGAGGCATGGGTCCTCCCTGCTCCCTGGAAGTGCGTGCAGTGTGGGGAGCCTGCCCTACCCCCCTGCCTCCTGGACGAGCTGCCAGCGGCCCCATCCCACTCCCTGCTGGGGCTCCACACACCACCCGGCTTGGCAGCAACCCCAGCTCCAGCCCTGTCCAACTCCCTCCCTGTGTGGCCCTCAATCTCCCTCTCTCTCCACCACCACCAGACTTACCTGCAGGAGCTACTGTCCAGGCTGCCTGGTGGCCATGTGCACACATGCATATGGCATCCCTTGCCTGACCACCCTCCTCCTGCTCCGCACAGGCCCTTGCAGGTTGGAACTCTGCTAGCCGGAAGAGAGCTCTTTGCAAAACTGCAAAATTTGCATGTTTCTCTTGGGCAAAAAGGGAAATACATGTCTTTTTTCTGTTTTCCCATGGGAAATGGAAAACCTGGATCCCTGGTCATAATAATAAAGTAGTGTTAATTTTTAAAGGACAGTTTTCAGCTGCAGTCATAATTCTTTTTCTTTCTACAAACTAAGAAGGTTTGAATAGGTCAATGGTAGGCTGGGAGACCCCCAGAAAATACTGTTGTGCGAGAAACTGCAGAAAACAATATTAATGAAATAGGGAGTGACACTTCTACATTTTTTTTAGCTACCATTGAAGGATTGCCCCATTTTGGCATTAAGCAGCTGACAGGGGCCCTGATTCTGCAAACTTACCCCCCATGCTTTATTTTGACCTTTTGAGTGACTACATTGACTTTTTATTTTTCCCCCCTCGGAAACATTGCAGGAATTGGTCCTAAATAGAAACTATTAATGTATTGCTGTGATAAATTACACTCAGGTATTTTTGAAGAATTCCACAATATATGTGTTTAGGGGGGAGGGGGAGCAGAGAATTGATTTGGAATAGAATCAAGCAACATAATTCAATGTTTTGAATCAGATACTGTCAGCAATTCAATATGTTACAATTCCCTTATCCTGCACTGTGTTTTGTTGTGTTATGGTAGAGCTCTCTGTCACCTGAAACTGTGTAAATACGAAGAGGCTAAACAGGACTGTGATCATGTTCTTCAAATAGAAGATACTAATATTAAAGCATTTTATAGGCGAGCTCTAGCATACAAAGGACTACAGGTAAGAATAAAGATTATGGCAGGTATTCTTACATCTTTTGAAATTTACTTATTTACCTCAAAGGCAATTCCATGATCGCCGTTTATACGTAAATACAAGCAAGGGAGTAAGTGAATCCTTCACATTACACCAAAGTTCACACAATGCTGGCAAAATGTAAAACACTATAACTAGTGTTCTGTCCAAATTAAAATCGCCACCTGTCACCCTGGCATCATTTCATTGATTACAGTTGTCAATTCCAGCTCAAAATAGCTAAAATAGATCTCTTCATCACACTCCCCTGTCTCAAAACCCTTTGTACTACTTTACTTTTGGTGTGGAAAACATCATTACCATCTTTCTTGACACTCACCCTGGTAAGGTTGGTGTCATAGTTGACTTAGACTTATATATAGGTCCTTACATCCAGGCTACATCTAAGTCTACCAGATCTGTCTGCATAATATCTCTAAGATGAGTCCTTTATTGGCCCAACCTCCTTTTTGCTGGCATTGACAAATAGAGGGTTGCACACAGAATGTTGCTACAAAATCTTTCCTAGCACATCAATTAGAGCTTATTACCTCTTGTGCCGCCCTTCACTGGCTCCCTCTTCTCAGCTGAGTCAAACATAAATTCCTTGTCTTCATTTTCAAAATTCTTTATAGTCTGTCTTCACCCTCTCATTCAGTGTAGAAAGGTTGATTCCGATCTTTGATCAGCCTGTGATTGCCAGCCGGTATCACTCATTAGATTTTTTTTTCAAACAACTACCCTCATGTTTTATGTTGCCTCACATGCTTGGGAGGAGCTCCTTGTAATCATCCCCCCAGGTGCTTGGTTACATGCTTTCAGATTGGCTCCATAAAACTCTCCTTTGTGACAATGCCTACGAAACAGCTTGAAGTGCTGATGCCAGTGACCGTTAGGCTGGCCAGTAATGTCACTTTGTTCCTTGTGGTTCCCTGTCTGTCTGTCTGTCTGCATCTCTCACCTCTTATCCTCGGGTCTGGACACATGCACATTTGGAACTGTTTCAAAAAGGAAGGAGGAACTCCTCTCTTCAAAAGGGAGAGAACTTCTCCCTTTTTGGAACTGGATCTAAAAATGTGTGTGTAAATACCCTAATGTCCAGAGCCCATACCTTCCTCTGAACTGTGCAGCAGCTGTTAGGTTCTAACAATTGTGTGTGGACAAGCTAGGAATGATACAAATGTAGCAAAAGAGCTCCAGTCTTACCATGCTTCATTCAGGGTTAAATTGGAGCAGGTTTGCTAATTTTGTAATGCTCTGGCTTGTCCACACATAATGGTTAGGATGTACCAGCTTCTGAATGCTCCTAATCATCTGCTCCCCTTTTGAAATGGCTCCAGATGTACATGTCCATACCTTCATGCCTTCACACTCAGACTGTAAGTTCTTTGGGGCCAGGACTGTCTGTTTGTACATTGCAGAATGGGGACCTTGTCCATGGCTGTTGTTTCTAGATGCTATGATAATACAAATAATAACGAAAATAAAGTAAGAGCATGTGCTGTTGAGCATGAAAGGACTAGAAACCAAGTAATGCAGCAGACAAAGACACTCTAACCTTCATTTGCCCTCAACTTAGCTATGATTTCCAAATGTAAGTCTTAGTAAGAACCATGCAGTTTTTGATGACAAGTCAGATTCCTTTACTTATTAAAAATACCTGAAAAACTGCA